TTTCCAGAATTTTTTTAATTAAAAAAAATATTTTTAAAAGCATTTCAAACATTTGTTCATTTTCCCAGTGCAAAAGAAAGTTGTTCAAGTCAACTTACCTTTTTCCTGAAGAGTAAGGGGAAGGAAAACAAATCCCAGAAAATATAACTATCATAGCTCCCAACGCTGCTTTCTCAATCAACATGTGCAGTAAATCTTCAGGTCGCTAAATTTGTTTATCAAAATTAAAGCCTTGTAATTATGATTCAGCCCTTGCTTCATGCTTGATTTTTTTTTATGCTGAAATGTTTCCATTTACAAAAGTAGAAAAGGTATTAGTGCAAGAAAGTGGTTTAAGATGGTTTTAAATGCCAGCCGTCCAATTGTGTATAAAAGAAAAAAGCACCATTTCAAGACAAAATTAGATATTTTGAATTTATTTATAGGCTAGGCAATAACTTAGTCTGCAAATATTTATCAGTATCACTTTGACTTGTGACCCCAGAGAACTTTAATTAGTCTGTAGGCGCATGTTTCTTTATATTTAGTAAATCATCTAAGCTGGAACATGTGTTTCCAAGTAAGAGCACAATTTACAGACTACTTCACAATCTATCTCAAACTCAGCTTTCTGCTAGGTCAGGGCTTTTCTGCTAATGGGCTTTTAACACATGAAACATTTCGGTATTTTGGGGGCTCTTTTTTCCTAATTGAAAGAATTTCGTCAGTTCGTCAGTTTTATAGGTGAAAAACATTGAGAGCACATAAAGTAAACCACAAAGATTAATAAAAAGAAATATATATGTCACTTTTGTATTTGTGTTCAATGAGTTTTTACATTTCAAGTAGTAGTTGAGCCTTCATTAACCAAGAAAAAAGAAGAAAAATTAAAGTACCTTCCAGTTTCAGCTTGCTGAAGTTTCTTCTGCAAAAGTGTAAGAATCAACCTATCACAAACTAGACAGGACAGTGTCCAAGCAAAGGCTGAATGGCTGTGTGTTAAGATTTTTGCTTACTTTATGCTAATGAGTGTATTTTAAGTGACAAAGTTTCTCTGCTGGCACTTACAATGAATGTTTCTTTACAAATCTTGTTCATAAGAAATTGACTTGTTAATCAGTAAACATATGGAGAGGTATCTGTTGATAGAAGATTTTTCAAATCCAGAGAAAATTGTTTTTAAAAATGCATTTCACATATGAAGTTTTAAGTTTTTATTTAGGAAAAATTTGGCTGTCAAGTTAGAATGTTTCAAACCAAAGCATCTCTTTTTTAGTAGTGGAGTTGATCTATGCAAAATATTTTTCCTTGTCTCTAAAAAACAAAATAATATTTTTACTATAAGGAAATTTTAAAATGCACTTTAAACTAGCCAATTTGTACCACTCATAAAAGAAATAGGTTCTTTCCTTCCCTTCCTTTGACCATCCAAAGCAGGAGAGAATACTGCGAACTATAAGAACCCCACCGGCTCCCACTGTAAGAACTACAGGTCAGGGCTAGCACTGGGCAAACACAGAAGCATGGGTGCGAGGGCTGCACTGTGAAGCAGCAGAAGCAAGCAGAAGCTCACAGTAAATGCACACCAGGCAGGGGCCTAGGTGAAGCTATCTCATCTGATTTACTGCTTTTCAAGGAAAAAAAGAGACAAATCTCAAAGAGTTTTAAAAAAAACAAAAACCTAGACTTTTGTCACATTTACAGGAATCTTAAACCCTTTATATTCCCATGCGTATAGGTAGTTTTGATATACATGGTAAGTAGCTTCAATATTCAGGAAGACGAACATTGTTGACAAACAACAACAGAATTCTTCATGCTTCTGATATCTCAGATTTGCTAAGTGCAATAGCCAGTTCTAAGTCTTCTTGTTCTTGCTGGTTCAGTCGGGCAAGCCTCTGCTCTTCCTCTCTCTCACTCTCCCTCTTGACCCATTCAATCATATCTTCTTCAGAGGGATACTGCCATTTAAAAGAAAAACAAAAAACAAAACAACAAACAAGAAGTAAGACAAAAAGAAAAGAAAAATAGTTTTTAAAAATGAGCACTACTTATTGTCTTTGAAGGATACTGGAACACTCTTTACTTCTTTTTGCTCCCCCAAAACATTTTTTTGGGGGGACAGGGTCTTGCTGTGTACTTTAGGTTGGCCTTAAATTTGCAGCAATCTTCCTGCCTCAGCCGCCTGAATGCTGGGATTACAGGTGTGCGCCACCATGTGTGGCTAAACACGTTTAGTTTTAACCAGTTGGTCAGCTGGTTTGAAAAAGAATTAATGTAATCTACAGTCTGTAAAAGTCAACATAAAAAGTCACTTTAAAATTAGAAATATTTAGGAAGATCATGAGATCTAAAAACAAGAGAGAGTTATAGACTTTTTAGTCTAAATAGTTTATCAGATTTTGTTATTTAAACTTTAGTGAGTAATCTCACGACAAATCATTTTTAACTTAACCCTACAGGTGATTTTCCACCATATCCTAACCTTTCAAGTATAGTAAAACTGTGAATAAAAAACTGTAAGAGTATTGAATATAATAAGCAAGATGTGAACCAAATCTTTTTTTTTTTTTTGCAGAACCGGGGATTGAACTCAGGCCCTTGTGCTTGCCAAGGAAGCGCTTATTCCACTGAACCATCTCCCCGGCCTCAGCATTTAGAAATTTTGGCAGGATTTTTTGACTCAGTTTTTTACAAACGTAACTCTGGGGATTAGATCCGGGAAATAGTTTTACTTACAAAAACATCAAATTTGGCAGAAACTCTATAAACACACAAGACTCGGTTTTAAATCTTGTTACATACAGCAGGCCCATAAAAAGATGAAAGAAACTTGTCAGACTTTTTTTCTTTTGTTTTTGAGACAAGCTTTTGTTACGTAGCTCAGGCTGGCCTTGAGCTCACTTGTGGCCCTGGCTGGTCTCAAACTCACAACCATCCTCCTGACTCAGCCTCTTAAGTGCTGAGAATACAGGAATGAGCCACCACACCACTACTTGTTAGACTTCTTAACAAAACTTATGAGATCTTTTATAACAAAAAAAAAAGTTTTGTGGTTTTTTTTTTTTAAAACTATGAGCTGTTTCATATTATACTGAGACACGAGAATATAATAAGCAAAATGCCACCCTCAGCTATTATTCAAGACTCATTTTCAACCAAGTTGGGTCTTGCTGAAACTATACTTAAGATATGAAATACCACAAACTGCCAGAGGATTATTTTACACTAAGAGTATTGTAATCTATTAAGAAGGCCAATTCTTGGGGGCTGGTGAGATGGCTCGGTGGAATAAACACTTCCCTAGCAAGTGCAAGGGCCTGAATTCAATGCCCGGTTCTGCCCCCCCTAAAAAAATAAAAGAAGGCCAATTCTTGATTCTCTGCATGAAACATCTGACATGAAAGTTAAGTCAGCATAATTCTGATATTCTAGCTGTATAATATTCAAAATACTGGTTTCTATTTTATTCCTTTCCATTCTACAGAAGTTGCTAGAATTTAGAGTACAGATTCAAGAGCTGTGTAGTGCAGCTGCCTTCACTACAAGCAGATTCTCACCCATATGCTAACTACAAGCAGGAATAAAGCATTTTGCTGAGTGGCCCAATACGGTATGGCACTAAGGAAAGACATAGGCAGATTGTGGCCAGGACCACCTATTTTCAAAAGCAAGGGAATAAGCATGTGTTGTAGAATAGGCAATGATTAGATCATTTTGCCTGGAAAACAAAAAGCTGGGGAAAATGAAACTTTGTTAGCTACTCTAAGAATTTTATTAAAAGCCAAAACAACCTGAGTAACAGTGGTGTTAGGTCCCTCCAGAGTGATGGCTCCACAGTTGGCTATCCCACATCTAAGATTTTTCATTTTCATTTTTTTTTTTTTTTAACATCTAAGACTTTTTTTTTGAGATAGTCTCACTATATAGTTCATGTTGACCTTGGGCTCACTGTGTAGCCCAGGCTGGCCTCCAACTTGGGGTGATCCTCCTGCTTCAGCCTCCCAAGTTCTGGGACTACAGGGGTGTACCACCGTGCCCAGCTCACCTGAGATCTTTAAGTCCTACCTATGCCATCATCACAGCACATTTCCATGGTTTCTGACACCCTTCCTGTTTAGTCAGCTCTGGGAGGATACACAGTAAATACAGGAAGCTAGTGAACTAGAGCCCTCCACACAAAAACTGCTTAAACCTTGAGAATAGTTCATTTCTTCAAGCTGACAGTGACCTTCTTTTTGATATAGGGCCTCTTGCTATGTTGCTCAGACTGGTCTTGAACTCCTAGGCTTGAGAGATCCTCTCGCCTTAGCCTCCTGAGTAGTTGAGACTACAGACGTGCAACCACCACCACATACAGTAGGCAGTAACATTTTTTCCTCTGTGGCATTAAGGATAGAACTGAGGGCCTTTGCACTGAGCAACAGCCCTTTTCATTTTGAGGCAAGGTCCCATTAAGTTGCCTAGGCAGGAGTTGAAAGTTACGGTCCTCCTTCCTCAGCTTCTTGAGTGCTGGGATTACAGGCATGTGCCACCATACTCTGGTAGCAACCTCTGAAATTTTGCCATAGGCTTTCACTAGGTAGCACATTAGCTCTGAACGCACTATGCTGACCACGCTGGCTCTGAATGCATGATTCTCCCACCTTAGCCTTTCTACTACTAGGATTACAGCATGTGCTACCATTCACAGTAGCATTTTTTTTTTTAAAAGCTACAATGGAACTAGGGGTGTAACTCAGTGGTAGAGCACATGCTTGCATAGCAAGGAATTGAGTTCAATTGAGCACCAAAAAAAAAAAAAAAAGAACTACTATATAAACCGAGTAAATAAAGAGTAAATTTCTAGTCACCTGATCTTTTTTTTTAATTTTTAATATTTATTTATTTATTTATTGTATGTGTGTGTGACCAGCTCAGCCCACCAGGGGGCGGGCTGGCTGGCATGTGGTGCTGGGGGATTGAACCGCGGTCCCTTGTGCTTTGCTAAGCTTGTTCTAAGTAGGTGCTTTAGACCACTGAGCCATCTCACCAGCCCCTAGTCACCTGATCTTAACTGAACGGCTGAGAAGTGATTTTACTTTCTACTCAAAGAACCATTGGCCTTATCCTCATATAGTAGTTGCTGTTTGATCTCCAGAGAGCATTAAAATTTTATACACAAACACACACACAGTTACAAATACACAGCTCATTACTAGCATTTTGCTAGTAAGCAGGCAGTGGATTGCTCTGTGATGGCCCATTAAATCACCATCCACTATAACAACATGAAAAATAGTAACTGTCAAGATTTTACTTATGTTTAAACTCTAAGAAAAGGGTTTATGAAACAGCTTGCATGTTTCACAAGAACTAAAACTATTAAAATCATCTGTGCAATGGAACAATTTACGAACTATCAAAAGAGAATCAAACATTTTGCTTGGGGGAAGAATTAAAGATCACTTTTAGTATGTTGGTAAATTTAGATGAAATCACACAAATTTGTCAGACTCCAAAGTAATCTTTCAAAACTCTTCAAATTGTAAATGGAAAGATTTTTCCCCCAAACAGCCCATTCACAGTACTTACAGCACTGAAGTTAGCAAAATTGCTTGGGTCAGCCTCTTTATTGGCAGTAGCAGAAGTAGAAGTGAATGGATCACAAAACATATCAGGATCTTTTTCTTTAGGGCTATCACTGCCTGGGAAAGGCTGAAATGGATCATTCACTTTAAAGGGATCAGAAGAATCCAATTTGTTGATGGGTCTTTTCCCTGGATCAAAATCATTACAATTAACCAGTAAATTCGGAAAATAAGCACAAAGAACATACAGGAAGGGGACAACAAAGCACTGTGGGTGGAGGGTGGGATGAAGACTCAAACACATTCTTCACACTGTCTGAAATGAACACACCAACAATCTTTCATACAATCCAGCTAAGTGCAGCTAAATGAAAAACAGCAGAGAGGATGTGCCAGGCATTGTATTTTTGTCCCAAGATTAAACCCATGCCCTCTTAAAGTAGCACACTATCAGGAGGAAAATAAAAAAGAATACAGAAAAGGCCTTTCTTAAATACACCAGCCTGATACTTATATAACCATCCACTAGTGGTAGTAATGACCTGTGGAAAAAAATAGCAAAATATTTCTGATTTTTTTTCTCGATCTATATATGTAATACCTAGTAGCATAAAATTATAAATCACCTTGACAAAATCCTGCTTTTTTTTGTTTTTAAAATGTATTTGGTTGTTGCAGGGTCTCACTACACTGCTTGGACTTGTGATCCTCCTGCTTTCAGCCTCCCCAGCACTGGGATTACAGGTGTGCTCCACTACACCCAGGATGCTAGCTGGCTCAGCCCGCTCTGGGGGTGGGGCTGGCGCTGCATGTGGTGCCAGGGATGGAACCACGGTCCCTGTGCTTGCCTAAGCAGGGGCTTTAGTCCACTGAGCTATCTCGCTGGCCCCAAACCCTGCTTACTTTTTGTCACATACAGTAGTTCAAAATGAAGATTAATCAATGTTTTGTAGTCTAAGGTTTATACCTATGATTGTTGGCAAGCTAACCTTTGACTAAACAACAATATACTGTCCTGGTACTCACTTGTTAACTCAATACTATTTTCAAGCAAGTTCTCTAATTTATTTTTATTTTATTTTTTCCTAGTGGAACCGGAGATTGAACTCAGGCCCCTGTGCTTGCCAGGGAAGCACTTACTCTACTGAGCCATCTCCCTAGCCCCTCTAATTTATTATTTATTTTGTTTCCTTTTTATTTTTTTAGATAGTCTTGTAGTTCAGGATGGCCTGGATTCACTGCGTAGTCCAGGCTGGCCTTAAACTTGCAGCATTCTCTTGCCCCAGCTTCCTGAGTACTAGAATTATAGATGTGTACCATCATACCTGGCTTTCTAACTTTTAAAGTCTCAAACTTAGTATTTCTTGAAGAAAAGATGAAATAAGTGGAGGTTAAAATATCTTCAAATGTATTCCTTCCTAAAATGCATTGATCTGGTAACAGCAATTGATCTGGTAAAAGATTTCCCATCATTAGAGAAACTTACAAAATGTTTATGTCTCCAGATGTATCTTGTGATGCTAGGCAGAATTAGTTACTGCTGCTGCTGCTGCTGCTGCTGCTACTACTACTACTACTTTCTAATAACTGAGGCAGCAGAGACTTAGACAAATGAAATAAATATATACTCAAGATCACAGGAGCAAGGGCTGAGAGTATAGCTCAGTGGCACTGCATTTTCCCAGCATGTGCACAACCCTGGGCTCAGTCCCCAGCACTGCCAAACATAGAAATAAAAAACTCTCAGAGCAAGTTGAGAGATTTTTTGAATTTGATGTGTAGGCTCCCAATCAGTGCACTTTCCAAAAAAGCACTCTTTTTCCCTTGCTCTATCTGTAATGACATATACTTTAACTAAGGTGTTAATATAGTATTTTACTTAGGATTTCAAAAATCTCACTACTGGCATCATATAAGTATAAAACCTTAAAGCAGAAATTTTGTAAGTTACTTTTTCATATATTTTGACAAGCTTACATCTAGCACTATATAATGCAGGCTACTTTCCCTCAAAAGGCAGCACCTACTTATTTACCTGATTTTTTTTTAAACAGATAAGTGAATATTAACAATTGTACAATATTACAATATTGACAACTATAAAATCTTTAAGTAAAAAAAAAATCTGCCTAAGAAATTCCAAGGGGCAGGTTATTATGAAAAGGAAGTAACAACCATCTTCAACTATTAGAGTTGAACATTCATCAAATACATCATGGAATGATATATAACTAAAAAACCAATGTGCCAAAGGTATCTTTTCACAGGACAGCCTACCAGCACCACTGTAACTAAGGGGACTGCCTGCCATTAGCCACTTTTTATAAAATATACTTTTTCTTCATATAGTATACACACTGACTATAACAAAACCAAAAAATAAAGCAATTAAGAATTTGTTCCTAGGCTGGGGAGATAGCTCAGAGGGTGCAAGGTCCTGAGTTGAATTCCTGGTTTAAAAAAAAAAAAAAAAAAAAAAAAAAAAGTTCCTGACTTCCTCATCACCATTGTAAAATAAAGGAATCTTTTTTTTTTTTTTTTTTTTGTGGAACCAGGGATTGAACTCAGGCCCTTGTGCTTGCCAGCCAAGTGCTTATTCTACTGAGCTATTTCCCTGGCCCCAAGGAGTCTTTTAAGTGAGAAAAACAAAGTATTTTCCTTTAAGAAAGGCAATACTTTAAAAAAAAAAAAAAAAAAAAAAAAAACTATACTGCTGAATGCTACATACCATAAGCCATTATTTTTTCACATCAAAAGATTTAAGAGAGATGGCCAAATAGCTCAGTGCATTAAAGTACCTGTTTAGGCACACACAGGGGCCAGGAGTTCGATCCTGGAGCCTGCTGTGCTGGTCCCGCCCCCGGGGGACCCTGAGACTAGACTGAAAATGGGCATGATGGCATGCACTTGTAAACCCAGCACTTGGGAGGCTGTAAACAGGAGGATCACTATGTGTCATTTCTATGTAGTGAGACCCTGTAAACCCTGTAGATCCTGTACTAAAAAAAAAAAGCTAAAATATTTAAGAAAGACATTCTGAAGGAATAGGTTGACCTTTCTCTTACAAAAATAAATAAAGGGACTGGGGAGATGGCTCAGTAGAATAAGCACTTGCCTGGCAAGCACACGGGTCTCAGTTCAATCCCCAGTTCCACCAAAATCAACCAATCAATCAATCAATCAAACAAACACTAGAGTACAGGAAAATACTTTTCAAATGATGATCAATGAGCTTCCAAAAAGCCAGAGATTTTATCTGTATTTTCTCTTTCTCATTTACTGACTCTCTGAAGGACTGGGGCCTGGGATAGCTGCTGCCAGAAAGGCAGTTCATGCCAGTTATACATGCTTGCTTCTTAGGCACACAGTTACAATTCTGCACTGAAGTCAGAACAAGTAACAGCAGTGAGCTCTGCTATGCACTTGGCTTGTTTTAAGTTCTTTCGACAGCACTCTAAAGTATGCAATTTTTTGAACAGAGATACTTTTTGGAAAGAGAAAGACTGAGTTAATTTTAGGAAAGGCACTAATTCTCTTACCCGGTGGTGGTGGGCAGGGTCTTGTTGGAGTTCCAGTCTTCGGTGGCAGTGCCGGGGGCACATCTTCACTCCTGATCGATGTTTCCTCAAACGCACTTTTAGGAATGACAGAACTTGATGTAACTGAACTAAAAGGATCTTCATTGTTGACCTTTTTAAAAAAAGTTCATACATCAGATATATACACATTATGCATACGTGTATATATTTTAAAGCAAATTATATTATTGTATAGCATTTGAAAGAATCACTTAAACACAATGCAGATTTGTTTCAATTTTAAAAGCAATATCTTAGCCTGTGCATCTGAAGACAAATAATTTTAATTTTTAGATAAATAATTGTAAAATACTGTTCTATATTCTACTATATTCTACTTATCTTTTAACATTTATTTATTTGATGCAGGGTCTCGCTATGCAGTTCAGACTCACAGTGATCTTCCTGTCTCAGCCTCGCCAGCACTGGGATTATAGGTGTGCGCCATTACACATCTATAATTAATGGTTTCAGTCATCTGGGAGCCATGTTTGCCATGCAGTACCAGGGATAGAACTCAGGTCCTTACACTTGCCAGGCAGGCACTTAGACCACCAAGCTATCTCCCCAGCCCTATCATCAGAGCAACAGGTGACACCAAAACAAGTCAACTCTAGACTGAAGGCCTGTCAAACTTCAGGCAATATTCACTACAAAACTAACTGAGGTTCATTTTAAGCAAACTATACACTTTTCCTCAAATGAATATCTGATTAAATAATGAAGGAAAAAAAATTATAGATTCTCTATGTCCTGATGTGCTTACATATGGAAGATTTACTACTAATGGAAAGAAAATGGCACTTAGACAAACAATAAAGGCAAACTGAAAGCCTTTTTTTTTTTCCTTTTTTGTCTTTTTGAGACAGATTCTTGCTATGTAGTTCAGGCTGGCCTTTAAGTCACTTTGTAGCCCAGGCTGGCCTCGAACTTGGAGCGATCTTCCTGCCTCAGTCTCCCAAGTACTGGGATAACAGGTGTATGCCACCACAGCTGGCCTGAAAGCCAGTTTTTAAAAGCAAACTGATTCCATGAAATATTAAGTCCTAATGTAGGTCTTGCCTTTCAAATAAATGGCATGACAAAAGATTTCACCTTTATAATCAATCCAACTTTATGATTTTAGATCTATTTAGGCCAGTGTTGTCTTTCAACACTGACATTGCTGACATCTGGAGCTAGACTGAGTAAATCTGTCAGTAGAAAACAACACTTGCCCATACCCTCACCATAGTCTGTTAATGTATACAAATGTATACATACAAACAGCTTATCTTTCATTTCTATCTCAAGTCAACATCTGCTATGATTTACTGCAGTATCTGGATTTCCTTTGATGGAAATGTATGTTTCCCTCCTACTAATCAATACAGGTTACCTTTGATAATGTGCTGAAGTCAGCAAATCCATCTCCAAATGATTCATTTCCGAAAACAGAAGCAAAGGGGTCTGTTGCTAAAATGAGTAAAGACAATCAATGAAATAGGACATAAAGAATATCATGTCCTCTTTTGATTGGTTACATTCAGATGCATTATCTAAAATTATCCCATGCTGAACTATGGAAAAGAGCAGCTAATGTTTAATTTTTTCTTTCTTTTCTTAAATTCTCATAACATTTTTTTCCAATTCTGCAAGCATTTATCTGATCATCTAAACAACTAAGTTGAAGAGAACACTATCAGTACAATAATTACTGTCAAATTCATATTATATTGTTTAACAAAATTCTGTACAATATCTAATTTTTAGTATGATGATTTTGTATTTTTTTCAAAAATAAACTTTTCTTGGGCTGGAGAGATGGCTCAGTGGTCTAAAGCACCTACTTGGAACAAGCTCGGCAAAGCACAGGGACCGCGGTTCGATCCCCCAGCACCACATGC